CTAGAATTTTTTGACAGACAGAAAATGTTTCATATTATATTTAAGTATATGATTTTTACCCTTATAATAAGTGCTAGAAAAAAAGCAATCAAAATCAAAAACAAAGCCTACATGACAATGACGTAAAAATGTATTAGAGAAAACGACTGATAAGGATAAATTAAGCTGTTTTTAAGTTTCACATTTTGTGTAAATTGCTGCTTTTTACACTTGTCAAAGGTGAACAACCTGAGGTAACAATAATTATAATTTAATAAAAAAGAAGTACTGTGACAGGTCTTGAAAAACCATTATCCTCGACATTTGGCAAATCACCTCAGGCTTACACAGTACTTGCTCCTCAGAAAATAATTACCCTAGGAGTGCCACACTTTGTTATCGTTCAGCGTCACGCAGAAAAAGGTGGGGCATGTATTTTAAACATCCAAACAAGTCAGGACTGTGTACTTCTTACCGGCACTCAGTGGGGTCGGCAGAGGGGCTGGTGGATCACGGGGTGTGGGTATGTCTGTTAAAGTGACGAATAAGTAAATGAGGCTCTTCTTTGTTTGATCTAAGCCGCCAGCATGTGATAACATGATGAACCCAAATTACTATGCCAGAGAAGCTTGTCAACATGGCATTCTGTGACAGTAGAAGTACTGTAGGGCACAGGTTCTCAGCCTTGTGTAACTTAAGGCCCACTTTTGATTGTTAAAAAATGACCAAAAAATGAGAAAAAATAATGATACCATATAGCTTTAAAATGGCTTTTGTCTGAGTTGCTAATGTTGTAACATGACTTCCCGTCCCTTTTCCAGGAAATGTTCTCTTTTGGCTTTGTAACACATTCCAGGTTCTTTGTGTTTAAATGTCTCACATTCAACACACTGCGCCTTCTGCTCAGCATCACTGCCTGGCATCATGAATCCAAATTTAATGTATTCAGGGTCATATTTCCTCACTTGTATTTGTATTTTATTTTGCGTCACTGAAACCAAGGGAGGGTTAGCTAGCTAACACTGGCAAAGTGTTTGTCTCCACCTGATGATAGTGGTTGACTGATATGGGCTGATGCTGATGCAAGTGTTCAGAGAGTAGGGCAACAGATGAGATATAATGTCGACATCAAAACAAAGAAAACTCTATAATTCCATCATTCCATGCACATTACAGTCTAATATACACCGTTATCTTAGCCAGTAACGTGTTGTGTTAGATGGAGTTTCTCTTTACTACAAACATTGGTTTATGCTGCAGACTTCAGAACATGACTGGTATTTCAGGGAGAGCAGGGTGCAGTATGTCAGAAGCGACGTCATTCAACTGCATGCAGCAGGAACATGGGAGTTATAGTCCAGGGCTTCAAACCAACGGTTTCACCACCTTCCCAAAACTCACAAGAAGGAGCACTAACATCTTTCCACTGCTGTTTTGTTTATAGGCCTTGTGAGCAATTATCTCAAAATGTTTGAAATATTTGTAAAGGCTAAATAAATCTGTCCTGGACCCACTGTAAAAAAACATTTTCTAACCTTCTGTAACTGTTTCCTTAATAGCATTCAGCCTCACTGAGCTTTAGCCAGATAAGGTTATGAAAGAAGAAGGTTTACTTTATGAATCCCCAGCGGGGATCGGTTGCCTGATTTGACCTCGTTCTAATGACCTGAGCTGAGTGATTTATGTCACATTACAGTTCATTCCAAGCAGGAAGTTTAGCCTAAGAACACAGGTTAATTAAAGGTGTTGCAATCGAACTTGCCACTTTGTCAGCTTTACTTTAATGTTTGCTTCCAGCCAGCCAGGTAGTTAACTACAAAGTGTATCAGCCATGAAAACTTGAGAGAATGACTTTAAAGTCACAGGAAGACAAGAACAAACAATATTGGCCTGACAGTGTATACTGAAAGCAAATGTATGGCTCTAACCCTAATTTAAGCTCCTGTGTCACACTTACTCCAGCAGATCCAGATGTGATTTTGACCTCAAATCCGAAGAAAATCCCCAGCTGCAGTGTTGTTCTAACCCTTGTTTAAGCTTCACTTTCCTTCACTAAAATATTCTGTAGTGTAACCCTTCATTAAAAACCAGTCAGTCTATCCTTAGTGTAAACGTAGTTTAAACCTGCATTAACTGATTTTCCCGGGCCCCTTGGAGACAGCACAACAAGCTGTACACACAAAATTGATATATTAGCATGTCATACAGTTAAATATTTTTAACGTGTTAGCATATAGCTATAGTAGGTTAAATAACATTTTTGTCATGTTTGTTGAAACTTTCATTCTATCCCGACAGTAGTACATGAGACAGATAATCTGTGAGAAAATCAGGTTCCTCTGACTGCTCCTAGTGCTCCTAATGGTATTTGCAAGAATTCTGATCAAAAACAACCAATCAGTGTAGGGGTGCACCAAAATTATAAGTCCAATATCATGACGAATAGCCCCAATAACATATATCATTTTGTCAGCAGGGCAGTCCTGTGTTGTTTAAACCCCAGTTTCAGCTCCTGTGTTAGTCTAATCGCAGTTTAAATTCATGCATCGCTAATCTTCCTTGTCATTTTTACTTTAGTTTAATCTCTTTACCACCTTTAAGCCTTTGTGTTGGTAGGCATTTTCCTTAGCTACAATTTCAGTACATAAAAGAAGCTTATCTGATGATTTCTAAATTTGCCTTCAGGGGCATTTACACGTCGGTGCTTTTAGAGAGAGAAATTTGACTTTATACTGTTATTACTTCAGACTGATCATTGCCTAAGAAAACTGGTTTACTGGAGGTTTCCTACATTTCACAAATACTGTGGGCAAAGTGAAAGGTAGCCAAAAATGCACCACAGATTGAGAACACTTGATTAAAGGGCAGCACCCGCTCGTCCACCCACTAACTACAGTAAAACACCTGTCAATCATTGGTAATTGATCCATTTCACATAGTCCACATTGGTAATTACAAATAATTTCGTTTTTATAAATGTCTGCATTTATGAGACCGAACATGTTTCATGGGAACTGCAGCTTCAGAGTGATTCATACATTAGTTTCCTTGTTGCAGGAGTATACCATTATTGCTGCCAAAATCAACATTTACCTCCACATCAAAACTGAACCCAAAGCCAACAGGCTTCTAAACATTTTCAGTGTTATGTGATATTTGTGAGAACCATAACACTGTTGTAGTCAGATCTGGTGTTTTTCGTGATGCACTTCTGCAATGCACATTGTGTGGATGCTGACAGATAGGCCAACACAGACCTGCCTGGCATGAAATTAGTATTATCTGAAGAAGAATTACAGACCTCAGTCTTTTTGTAAATTGGGATTGGGGAAGAATCCAAGTTCAGAATTTGGTTAAAAAAGTGGATTTTAAGATGAAAGATAAGTAAATCTCATAAAGTATTTCATTATAGTTAGAGCTATTAGTCAATTATTCAATTAGTTGTCAGTATTAAATGAATCATCAGCTAATTCCATAATGGATTAATCGCTTTGAGTCATTATTTAAGGAAAACATGCAAAGCCTATGAATTCAGCTTCTCAAGCGGGAATATTTTCCCATTTCTTTAGTTGTAGGCAAGTTAGTTGGTGCCTCACTCACACACTCATTTTTAAGTGTGAAGAGAGATTCAAGTATCAATTGACAGCTGATCTTAAAAATGATGTTTGCGGTCTGAGCTTCAAACACACTTCTGTCAACACACAAGTAATTCCAAAAAAACCCCCCCAAAAAAACCATGGATTCAATAGCCTACCAGTAGCCTGAAACCATTGTACACAAGGCAGGTTAGCTGCTCTGCAAGACATTCCACAGAATGAGGGAGATTAATCCAGCAGAATAGGACAAATAACAGGCCATTTCCTATACCTTAGATAAACGTTTATTGATCACTAATAAAGGTTTATCTTATCTTAACAATACATTTTAGCAAACTCCTCACCTGCTTTGGACTTTATGAGAATTCCCACTCAAACATGAACCCTGAAAGGTGGCACTGCTGAGTCAACCTTTTATATCAAACTAATGCTCACCTCTAATAGTTTACAACAGCAGCAGCATGAGGCAGCAGATCACTACAACAAATACATTTTCTGAGCAATTGACTGTGTGCTGTCCACCTAAAAGGTTTTTAATTAAGCAAAGAATAAAAATAAAAGACATGCTAAGTCTTTAAGCGCCTTGATCACGCGTTAAAGTTACAACTGTGAGAGAATATTTACAGCATGTATGAAAGTGTTGGCAAACAATGAATTCTTTTTTCAGACAATCAATGTAAACAAGGTGTATAGCTCACATTGGTCAAATATTTACTTATTTGAGTAGTCCACTATTCAAACAGCTCTAGTATGCATCACTTTTTTAGCCATGCTAAGCTAGCGCTCCAGACTGAAATTCAATACAACTATTGATTGTACTGCTATTGAAGTTGGTACAAACATTGATGGTCCCCAGAGGA